AATCGAGTATAGCCATCGAGGCTAGAAAGATAATGCCTGTTCGTCTTCGCGTCTAGGTTCTTACAGCTGTTTAACTCGCGTATAATGAGGACAACCTGAGACTCATCGTCGTCAGGATGTCTATCTTCAGCAATGCGACGCGGAATTGCCATCTCAAACTTAGGCTTAATAATACAGTTAGGCAGCATCGTCTTGGTGCTATTGACTTGCACCTGGCTCTGAGAATGTCGGTAGCGTGAGAAGATAATAGGGGCGAACCTGGAAGCTACGAACTCCATGACTTGTAGAGATAAATCGTGTCCAGGACAGTAACGAGGGGGTCGCGATTCCTCGCTCTCCCTTTCAATCTCACTTTCGGCTCCATTCCATGTGATGATTTTTCCCATTTCGATGGCCGAACGCTTAGGATTGAACTCAGCTGGTGACGTGAATTCGCTCGGATCATTATTAGCATCCAGAAGAGAACAGTGAATGCGTGTGTTGGCTGGTAAATCTGCTCCAGTGTGAGTCTTGACATCCAGAGCTATGTTTGCATTAGAGAGAAGGCTAACCATCGGCAGAACCGGCTTAAGTCGAGCGCATTCTTTGATGAAATTGCGAGGATTCTCGTAGAATAAATCCACCATCTTCTTTTGCCTATTACCATCTTGTCCAGTCTGAGCTTCATCTGATTGGTCTGACCACAGCCTATGAACGATGCTCGCAGTGAGTTTGGCTGGTGCGGGTGCTGCACCCAGGCAGAAAACAGAGGTAATCAATCGTAGAACTTCATTCTTGGGCATGTATCCTGCGGCCGCCTCAAAAGCTGCTTGCAGCGCTGGCCCCTGAACATGACGAGCGAATGCAGCCTGAAACTTTCCATAGCTGGCATAACCCATATTCTCCTTGTAATTGCCTGCAACCAAGAAGTTGAACCAGTCAGGCAGAAACGTAAAGGGATTTTTGATACAATCTAGGTAAGCGTCGCGCTCGTCACGCGTTAATGAGCCACCGGTAGCCAGGAAGAAGAGTGTCTCACCAACAGCTAGATACACAATTTCGTTGCTTGGCTCGCTGTTTGTGTGTCGTGGGACAAGCCGAAACAGATAACGATAAGTAGCTGCGCTCTTTTTGGACCATGAATCGTTCAGGCTCACCAATGTGTGAGGGAAGGCCGCCAGCCACTGGTGAACGACTTTCCGACTAAGTAAATGGAGATCTGGCATAGGGTGGCTTGGATTCGGCATGAAGATGGGATTAAAATTGCAGAATTTAATCAGTGAGCTTGATACAGACCAGCCAATCGTTTGGAAGTCTTTAATAATGAGCGGATCACGACTTTCCAGATAGGCTTTAACGTACTTGTAACTGCCCACACCGACACCATCTCCAAATGGGAAGAAGCCCGCGGTGCTTGATTTTCCTAGACTTGCCGAGAAATCGTGCTGGATCGCGCGGAAAAGACTGAGTGGATTCTCACCGCTTGGAGCAAACAGGATAAATGTGCATACTTGCAGCCAATATGACTTGATCTTCCACAACCAATCACGGTCTTCTATACGTGTGATGGTCGACCGCCAAAAGGATTCGATCGTGTGGGCTCGAACAGATGCAGGAGGCCATCGAGGGTGTTTCTCTACGGCGTTCGCCTTCGTGCGATGAAAGATGAGACAGTACACGACATACGCCGCATAAAAGCTCAACACAATGAGACCTATTGCAGCACCAACCAATCCCCTAACGACGCGATAGAGTTTACGTAAGTTGTCTGGGAGAGAATCACCGATTCGAATAGTTCTCGTTGATAATAACTCGTAGTCAACGGCTGAAACGATCTTCTTCATCTTCAAGCTCTGAGGATTTCTCCAATTAATAGGCTCACGAGCAGTGAATCGGCGGAAGTAGGTTCGAGTAGCCAGAAAGTAGATTAATAAGCCAACGGGCGAGAGAAAATAAGTAAGGATGAGAATTCCTGTAAACAGAACGTTCTCCTCAGTCCAATGGTTATAGCGTGGAAAGCTACCGTCCACCTCCGGCTTCACATTATAGGCGCACGTGAATCGTGTGTTGAAATCGATCACCATCCAGAGACCCACCCACAATTCGGTCACACGAATATGAGCCATGCTAGCCACAGCGAGGAAGGCGTCTTGGTATAGACTCAATAGATTCTCGAGGTTGAAGAAATTCGAGCTTGGTGTATTCATCGCTCGTTGGGAAAGCAATTGATAGAATGTGCCCAGACAGCTCAACGTGAATACGACCGCGGGTGCAATGGCAAAGTAGTGAGTGAAGCGATCTCTCGGCCAGATGATAAGCGCCAACCAGCCCAGGATGACGAAACTGTTCAATAGGAACATATCGTCGGCCCCCAACGAAAGCCACGTCATTGTACTATTTATGGGGGAAGTAGAAAAGGTACCAGACATGTTATATTGAAGTTAAAGTTAAAATTTCTATCCATTCCAGAATATAATACACCCGATTGTATTGAATAGCTCCGCAACGA